TTGACTCTTTTGGCAGCCCGTGGCACTTTCAATATTCTCCTCCAACACCATAACTCAAATGCATTAATTCTTCTATGGCCTTCCTTATTCACTGGCCAGCTTTCGCATGCATTTGAGGTAATTGAAGATGCAATGGCTTGAATCAGGCACACCTTAGTCCTCAAGCTGACATCTTTGCTCTTCAACACTTTAAAAAGGTCTTGTGCAGAGATTTGCCTAATGCAATATGTCATTTGATTTCTCGACTGCTGCTTCCATGAGTGTTGATGGTTGATCCAAGAAGAATGCAGTCCTTGACAACTTCAATCTTTTCTCCATTGATAAGAATGTTATTTATTGGTCCAGTGGTGAGGATATTTATATTCTTTACATTGAGATGAAATCCATACTGAAGGCTGTGCTCTTTGATCTTCATCAGTAAATGTTTTAAGTCCTCTTCACTTTCAGCAAGCAAGGTTGTAGCATCTGCATATCGCAGGTTGTTGATGAGTCTTCCTCCAATCCTGGTGCCACATTTTTCTTCATATAATTCAGGGGCTCAGATTATTTGCTCAGCATAAAGGTTAAATAAGTATGGTGAAACAATACAAACCTTTTGCACACCTTTCTTTATTTTAAACCATTCAGTGTTTCCATGTTCTGTTTGAACAACTGCTTCTTGGTCCATATACGGATTCCTCATGAGCACAATTAAGTGTTCTGGAATACTCACACTTCACAATGTTGTCCATAGCTTGTCATGATCCACACAACTGAAAGCCTTTGCATAGTCAGTAAAGCACAGGTAAACACCTTTCTGATTTTCTCTGCTTTCAGCCAAGATCCACTGGACATCAGCAATGATATCACTTGTTCCATGGCCTCTTCTGAATCTGCTTGAATCTCTGGAAGTTCTCTGTCAATGTATGCTTGCAGTCTTTACTCACATGGGATATCAAAGAGATTGTCCGATGATTTCTGCATTCCGTTGGGTCACCTCTCTTTGTAGTGGGCACAAATATGGATCTCTTCCAATCAGTTGGCCAGACAGTTGTCTTCTTAATTTCTTGGCATAGATGAGTGAGTGTCTCCAGTGCTGCCTCATTTTCTTGAAAGATTTCCATTTTTATTCTATCAATTCCTGGTGCCTTATTCTTTGCCAATTCCTTCAATGCACCTTGGACTTCTTTCTTCCTTCAGTATCGTTGGCTCTTGATCACATGCTACCTCTTGAAACAGTTGAACATCAACCATTTCCTTTTGGTACAGTTAGGCAGCATTTCCCTAATTGCCTTCCATTTTTGGTACAGTTAGGCAGCATTTTGATTGCCTTCCAACCTGAGGGGCTCACTTTCTGGCACTATATCTGACAATATTCTGGTGCTTTTCATCATGTTTCAATATTCAATATTCTGATGCTACCTGACAGTGTTTTACTACTATTCCAAGGTTATCAGTAGCTCAACATTCAGAAGTAACCTGCCTCTCCTTCTTCCTCATGTGTCTTAGTCTATAAGGTCAGCTGAAACCTGTCCACCATGGGTGACTCTGCTGGTATTAAAAATTCTGGAGGTACAGCTTCCAGTATCATGGCAATTTACAAGCCACCACAGTATGACTAACTGACAAATTAATTTATGTGTATAATAACTGCTGTTGATTAGTGCCATGAAGTCAGTTCTGACTCACTGTGATCCTGTATAGCGTTTCTGAGGAGCGCTGGTAGTGTAATGGTTAGGAGTTGGGCTGCAAACCTCAAGGTCAGCAGTTCGAAACTACTAGCTGTTTTGTGGGAGACAGATAAGGCTTTCTACTCCTGTAAAGATTTATAGCCTTGGAAGCCCTATGCAAGGTTGCTATGAGTTGGAACTGGCTCTATGGCACACCACCACCATAGTGTTTCTAGGAGTCCTCGCGTGGCACTATAGGATAAAGCACTGGACCACAGGGTTAGTTTGAACTGCAAGGATGGCAGTTCAAATTCACCATCCGCTCCTCAGAAACCCTACAAAGGGTCGTTATGAGTCAGAACCGACTCCACGGCACTTAACAACAACAACATAGTGTTACTGAGGAGCAGCTAATAGGTTTGAACTGCCGACTTTGCAGTTAGCAGTCCAATACTTATTATCCTATAGTACCACTTCAGGACCCCATATATAAAAAAGAAGAGATATATATATATATATATATATATATATATATATAGAGAGAGAGAGAGAGAGAGAGAGAGAGAGCTCTGGTAGCATAGTGGTTACGAATCGGGCTGCAAACCTTAATGTCAGCGGTTCGAAACTACCAGCTGCTCTGCGGGAGAAAGATGAGGCTTTCTACTCCCGTAAAGATATACACCCTCGTCGCTATGGGTCGGCACCGACTCGATGGCACATAACAACAACAACAACATATATATATATATATGTACATACATACATACATACATACATACATACATACATACATACATAAACAAGCAGTTTAAATCATCTTATATCATTTTAATCAATCTGAACTACTTTTTAGTATTGATGAGATGTTTGGTATTTTACAGGTCTCAACATAAACATTTTACGAATTGGGCTGCTAACCTCAAGGTCGGCAGTTTGAAACTACCAGATGTTCCACGGGAGAAAGATGAGGCTTTCTGCTCCCGTAAAGATTTACAGCTTCGGAAACCCTGTGCAGGGTCACTATGAGTCGGAACCGACTCCATGGTACTTAACAACAACAACATCTTCATTATGGAGTCTTGGTGTGGGCCTGTATGACAAGTACTGGACTGCTAATTGCAATGTCAGCAGTTCAAACCCACCAGCTGCTTCTTGAAAACCCTATAAAGGATTCCTAAGCATCAGAACAGACTCCATGGCACTTAGCAACAACACTGTCTTCATTATAGGCTCTTAAAATTAATTTACAGTCAGATCTCTGATAATTTATAATAATGGAGGCAGGCAGTGGTATAAACAATTGTTGTTAAGTGCCATCGAGCCAATTCTGACTCATAGTGACCCTTTAGAGCATTTCAAAAAAGTTGCTGCTTTGTTTGAACTGTCAACCTTGTGGTTAGCAGTCTAGTGCTAATCCAGAAGTGCTACACCGCAATTTCTTAATAAACAATACCTGCTAATAAATAATTAGGTTTAGGATGAATCATATTAAAACTGTTCTTTAGATTCACCTTTGTAATTATATTGTTGTTGTTGTTAAGTACTGTGGAGTTGGTTCTGACTCTTAGTGACCCTGCACAGGGTTTCTGATTCTGCAAATCTTTACGGGAGCAGAAAGCCTCATCTTTCGCCTGTGGAACAGCTGGTAGTTTCAAACTGCCGACCTTGAGGTTAGTAGCCCAATTCGTAACCACTACGCTACCAGAGGACCTTTGCAATTTATATTAGTCAAGTTAATATTGAAGTCATGTTTTATTTTTTAAACCCCAGTTTGTGGGAAGATATAAACAAGAGACCAGAGTTCTGTTGGTGGTAAATCTAAGATTAACTCTGTCTCCAGGGATCACAGAAGCTGATAATTATGGGAAATGATTTTTAATTTGATGGCCTGAACACACAGTATCAATTCCATCTACCCTACTAACCCTCTTTTTTTAATGTTTTATTGTGAATTATATGATAGTTTACATGGGAGAACATTAGTTTTACATTCATTCTTTCGTATATCGCTTCACTGCCATGGTTACAATCCCCTCCATGCATCATCAACCAGCCAAATAACCCTCTTATTTTAAAAGTCAGTGTCCTTTCTCTAAGAGTGGAAAAAGGAAGCTATAGTGGCCAAAGTGTTCAGCTGCCAATTCTAAGGTTGGTGGCTTGAAACCACCAGTGGTTCCAGAGGAGGTGGCTACGGCGGGATGCTTCTGTAAAGGTTACAACCTTAGGAACCCTATCGGGGCAGCTCCACTCCATCCTGAAGAACCGCTATGAGTCAGAATTGACTCAAGAGCAGTGGTGTTTTTGTTTTGTTGGGTGCTAAATGACCAATATGAAGATTCTCAGAGCCAAAAACCAAACTCCAATTAAATTCCCTGATTCAGATTTAATGTCTGTTCTATTACATTCTGAGGATAACTTGTTTCAGTCTTTTCCTTTCTTTCCCAGAGGGATTAGCAGCAGTATTGAAAGAAAACAAAAACTGCAAAAGCTACAACCTAAAGACGTGCCAAGGAATTTCTTCCTGCAAGTCTCTAAAACAGTCACGCATTAGCCATATTTACAAATTGCAACTGAGTCTTCAAATTGTAATATAATTTAGCTAATTAACCAGTATTGCTAAGACTTGGGTATTCAGGTCACCTATTCACCTGGCTAGGCAAGAATGAACCCAAATCCTTAACTGAAAACAATTCTAATACCTCTCCATAAATACAACACTGTTAACATGTTGACGGTCTGTCTTACACATCTGAAGAGTGTCAACCGCAAGATAATTAACTAATTTTCATTGTGAAGTGTAAGATTTACTGCATGTATGCTAATGCCAGAAGATGGCCTAGACATGCAGTTTGTCCAATTGGTAGCCACTAGCCATAACAGTTACGTTCCTCAGCCACAGTTGCTACATGTCAAGTGCTCAATTGGCCATATGTTGCTTGTGCTTACTCTGTGGAACAGTACAGATACTTTTATTGCTGCAGAAAGTTTTAAATGATAGACCTGCCCTGTTGTTGCTCTTAAGTGCCATGGAGTTGGTTCCAACTCACAGCAACCCTGTGTAGGGTTTCCAAGAAGTGGTTGGTGAATTTGCAGTCCACTGCTGATGCTACAGGGCCACACTAGGAGTCCAGACCTGCCCTAGGATGAGGTTAGATAATATAAGCTAGTTTTCCTGTTGCCATTTCCTCATAAAAGTACACTGAAAATGTCATTTTATTAAGATGGCGACTATATAAGAGTGTTCCCATCTAGGGATTCTTCTACTGTTCACTGTTCAAACTCGAAACTATAGCTTGATCTGGTTAAATCTCACTCCTTGGTTGTGTTAATTGTCACATGAAGTAAACTTACTGGCAGTTTGATCAAGTTTTACTATTGATGCTTGCAGGGCATAAAGTGCTTGCAGTTCCTTCTCTGTATCCGAGTCTAGGTACTTGAGTAAGATGGGCACTCTCTGCTTGATAACAGTAGTGTCTACTCGGAAGGTAGAGCAGTCAGCTGGAGGGGACAGAAGAAGGGGGAGTTAACACACAGACTCATTTTCAATGTTCTGAGCAGATCAGACACATGTGACTCGGCAAGGGAAGGAGGAAGAGGCAAAAAGATCCAAGGCATCCAAACTGCTCTGGAATTTCTAACAGGAAATTCTCTCTAAAATAATTAAACATGGAGCAGGGGGAGGCATTTTGAGTACTGGAGTCCCTTAAGTGTAGTACATTCAATTATTTATCATTAATAATATTGAATCAGTGACAATGGTTTTATGACATTCCAGACTTAAAAAGCAAGATTAAAGAGGAAATTAAAGTGATTGTTCATGCAATTCTTTTCAGAACGTCAAAAGAACTGGAACAATTCATCACCAGTAGGAACCCAGGACTCACTGCGACAGTGGCAGACAACATACCCCAGCTCCCAGCAGCTCAGATGGAAACGTTACGGAGGACAAGCACACAAAGCGGCTGAGGAAGCCTTCTCAGAGCTAGGAGGCACAGGTCTTGCTTTCTTTGTGAGTGATCACTGGGACTCAGTCTTGTTTTTAAAAGCAACATTTTAAACTTTTCAACTTTGATTTTAAAACACCAAAGTCTTTTAGGTACTGTGAGTAATTTAAAAGATTTTTATAAAGATTTCCTACTTAGCTTATTATTTACCATATTAAAGAACATTGCAAAAAAACTCCATTTAACATAAAACCTTAAAGTTCTGGAACTAAATCATATACGGCAGAAAGCAATCTTCTCAAGGGACAGACCTGAAATTCTGAGACATCTTTTGAGCTGATGGATTTTTCACTTCAGTGACAGAAATGTTCGACTAAGTGAATTCCTCATTAAATACTGTTAGATACGGCAGGCAGCTTGGAATACTTGAGTTTCTACTGATCCTAACCCAATCCATCTGTGCAACACATAAACATTTGATGTTTATGTACAGTCAAATCAATGTAAAGCAAGAGGAACAGTGAGTGCCTTCTTTCCTTATGTATGTATTTACATTAAGTGAGTTTTCTAAGATACTAGTTTAATAATATTCCATATATACTAGTTTAATAACATTCAACCCATTTGTTCTCATTCATGATAGAAGAAAGAAGAGGTGAGTGTTGGAGGTGAGAAGGTAAGACAAAAGCCACATGTAACAGAATATAAAAGAATGCAATGAGCCTGCAGTAACTTTCTGCTGAATTGAAGAAATAAGACTTACAGTAGGCCCTCTGCAAGCAAAGCAGCTAATCACTCCTCTTCAGTCATGTAACACTGACAGAAATGGCATCATTTGTGCAGAAACTGCACCACATAGGGCAAGTTTTGAGACAATGTAAGTTCAGACACATATAATCAGCAGCTGGACAGTTGACATATTGGGAATTTTAGATGTTAAAAGTTGCCTTCAGAAATGTTACTTACCTATAATAGCTGCTTTACAGACAGCCGTCATTAAAGCTCTAAGGAATGTAGGTGAACTCATCTGGCTTTCATCTAAATTAGCCTGAAATCAAAAGTAAACGCAGCAATTAGAGGTAATCTTGCACCCCAGAGAGATGATCTCCCCAAACCGGGGCTGACCTGACACTATGGGCAAATGGAGTCACAGTCAACTTCTTTGTACAAAATTAATTCTCCTGATTCACTGGAAAATAGCTGGACCATCACCAATTTTGTTTGAAATCATTTTAAGTAGCATGGCACAGTGGGTTAAGCATTGGGCTATTAACTGCAAGGTTGGTAGTTCGAACCCAACAGCAGCTCTGAGGAAGAAATAAGGGGCTTGTCTGCTCTCAAAGATTTAGAGCCTGGGCAACCCTATGGAACAGTTCCGATCGATCCTATAGGATCGCTAAGAGTTGACTGGACGGAAGTGGGCTTGGTTTTTGGTTTATTTCATTTTCAGAGAGTTTATCACTGCCCAGTCTCTGCTTATTTAATTAATATAGTGCAAAGAGTTCTGGTGTGGTGCTGTGGGTTAATGCACTGGACTGCATAGTCTGTTTGAACCACAAGGCTGGCAGTTTAAGCTCACCAGCCACTCCTCAGAAACCCTATACAGGGTCGCTATGGGTCGGAACTGACTCAGTGGCACTCAACAATAACAACAACAATGCATTGTGTACATTTAGAAGCGCAACCATTCAAAAAGAGATTCTTTCTTCCCAATAAATAATCTCATCATTCAAGTCCATATATTTTAAGAACCATGGAACCACAAATGGAATGTTATTTTAAAACCTACTTTCTCAGTAGTGTGCAACCAGTTTTACATGCGCCAACAATGCTTTCTTCATCTTAATTTTAACGTAAATTAAAGATTAGTTTTAGGCACTGTCTCAAACTCTTTTAAGGTGGTAAGAAAATTGTTACTCTTTTGTAAGAAGACCAGGAGAAAATGTATTTAGAGATGTTTAGTTTTTACTTAAGAGCTTGTTTTGTTATTAGACATTATATGAATCCAGATAAGCTACAAAAGAGGAAGAAAACCAAACTAGACATTTTCTGAGTAGATATTTAACACATTTTTCAAAGTTTACATTGCTTATGCCTGTGAGCAGAACTAATGATGTCTCAGATTCTTTTAATAGCACAACATATTTTCCATGGAAAGGGTCAGCCTTAAAAGGATTGGTCAGGGAAAATGGAAAATGTCATTGTAAACTTCTATGTTGGAAACCTAACAATTTCAAAGACATTTGGCAATCAGTTTAATGTTTAAGACTTAGAAAACTGAGGTAGGTTATTGATGTTGTTAAGTGCCAGGGAGTCGGTTCCAACTCATAGTGACCCTGTATAGAGCTTCCAAGGAACAATTGGTAGATTTGAAACACTGATCTTGAGGTTAGCTGTCCAGTGCTTATCCTATAGCACCACATTAGGACTCCACCTTTCTCTTTGCTCTCAAATATTACTTGGGATGAACCAGTAGCTTCATGAGAGGTAAGAGCTGGTAACAAGTCAGTGGCCGGCTCATGGGATACCAGCAGAGCTGACCATGAGAGTTGAGAGGTCTCACCAGCAATCTTCCCATAGAACAAAACATGCAGTGCCATGTGTGACAGCTAAAGTTGCTGACAGGTGGTGGGAAGGAGGAAAGAGTCACATATAAAAGGTTTCATGATGACTCATGCATCCTAGCCAGTTGCTGCTTAACACATCTTTAAAAACACAAGGGGACTTCAAAAACATCACGAAAAAATGGAATTCCTCCACGAACTTTCTAAAGCCCCCTTGTACTTTATTTGTGCTGAAGCCAGGCTCATGTAATCCCAAACAAATTACTTCTGAGAATTCTGGACAACTATTTTTGAGGAATGAGTGAGAGAATAAAAAACATCATTATTTCCTCCCCATTTTCATTACTTTTTGGCTCAACAATACTTTATAAATAAGCTGAGAGAACTATTTCAAGTGGTGACTATCACCTGAAATCCCCAAAGAATTAGATTTCAAGTAGTCTGGGAAAACTAAATGCAGTTAGATAGTAAGTATCACTTCCAAACCATTTGACAATATCTTGTTATAAGACAGAAACAAACAAACAATCCAAACCTGTATGTTTCCTTTACAAAATAGAGTCAAAGATTATAATTCTAGCATTCAACAGTAGAAAAAAACCTGAAGAAAAGTGTTAACAACACTTACACACAGAGTAAGTAGAGATGGTAACAAAAAAAGGGCAAAAACAAGAAGGAATTGTGTCTGCTAGTAGGGATAGAAAAGCAAAGTCATGTTTATGTATCACTTACATGTATCTGACACAGTACAACCAGGATCCACGTGTATTGTGAGTTCAGTTACTATTATGTTTTGTCATCTCTTTCCTTTCTTAAATGTCAGATTTATTTGATATAATTTAAATTCTGAAAAACTGACCCTTTCTCTTCTTTTTAGTTGAATAATCATTGGCATGGAGAAGGCAGGATAAGCACTGATATAAGAGAAATGGAGCCCACAGTGGGTAAAGAGTTAAAGACAGCATTATTTTACAATAAAATGAGGAAAGACAAGACCAAATTGCTAAACTGACTGTGATCAAGCAGAAAGAGGATGATGCTAAACACATAAATGCTGACCTGACTTCCAAATAGGGAAAGGATGTATATCAATAACATATCAGGAAACCTGATACTGAGTCTATGCTAAAATCTAGAGCAGACTGTCACATGACTGGTTTAAAAAATCTGAGAGAAGAAAGATGGCGCTACTAAGAGGCAGCATAAATTTATGAGAAACAAGTCATGCACTAACCTTTGCTGAGCACAGAAGGAAGGTACAGACACAGTACTCTGGACCTTACAAGGATCTGACAGAGATCTCCTTGTAGGCAAGATAAAAAAGTGAGCCAGACAGTGACGTGAAAAACTAACTGTCAAAGGGTGGAAAGGCCGGTTCTTAAGGGCATATGCTCTATCCTTGGTTCTATTCAGTCACAGATTTTACCCCTAATTTGGACGAGGACACAACCAGCATGTTAGAGAAATGCAGGGATCATGGCAAGTGAAAAATAAGGTGAGCATCCCAAAGGGTCATGAGAAACTAAAAATGTGTTTAAGAAGATGAATACCAACAGAAACAAACTGAAATGACCTCCACTGAATAAGTTCAGGATGGGAGCTAGAATGGTTAGAAAACAGAATGCAGAAGAATGGGTATGAATGACTGAAAATAGAGCCATTTGAGCTTATTGGGGTGAGGCTGCAGGAGCACAGAATTGAAGAGCAGAACCACATTAGTACTGCCTGACCAAATACTGTTGGACTGCTCTAGTACTCATGCTCAGTTTGCACATCCCGCTTCGAGAGGAATGCTGAAAGCTCAGGCTATGTCTGCATAAGAGTTACTAGACTGAAGGAGGGCACAGATATCAACGTTTCAAACGAGAGGCAAATGAATCTATAATTACAATAGCCTTTCATTACAGGAAGATAAGCCTATAATGATGTTGTTGTTAGTTGCCACCAAGTGGGTTCTGACTCATAACAACCCTGTGTAGGGTTTCCAAAGAGTGCTGGTGGGTTTGAACGACTGACCTTGTGGTTAGCAGTCCAGTGCTTATCCTACAGCACCACACCAGGACTATAATGATAGATTATTCCAATTATTTAAAAGGTTTACAACTAGAGATGAACTATCCTGTGTAGACATGGGACAAGAAATAGGTACAAAATCAAATGATTAAATGTTTCATTGTTTTCAATGCTTCAAGTAGATGGAGAAACAACCCATTAGAACAGCTACAAAAGGGGAGTCATACAAAAGGGAGAGGCCTATTCTCCTTTACAGCTTACTTTGAACTTTGACTATTCTACAGACCCATGAATAATAATGTGCACATATAAAATACAACTTTATGAGCAAAAATTATTCAAGGGAATACAGCAAAAATTAAATGTAGATGTGATCAACAGATTCTATGTTGTTGTTGTCAGCTGCCATCGAGTCGGAACCGACTCATAGCAACCCCACGCACAGCAGAATGAAACAATGTCCGATCCTGGGCCAACCTCACTACCGCTGCCACACTTGAGTTCATCAGTACTGCCACCTGGCCAATCCATCTTGTTGGGGGTCTTCCTCTTTTTCTCTGATCCTCCATCTTACCAAGCATGATATCCTTCTCCAGCGACTGTTCCCTCCTGACAACATGTCCAAAGTATGAGAGACGAAGCTTAGCCATCTTGGCCTCCAAGGAGCACTCTGGCTGCACTTCTTCCAAAACAGATCTATTGGTTCTTTTGTCAGCCCATGGCACTTTTGGTATTCTTCTCCAACACCATAATTCAAAGGCATCAATTCTTCTATGATCTTCCTTATTCACTGTCCAGCTTTTGTATCCATATGAGGCTATTGAAAACACCATGGCCTGGGTCAGGCGCACCTTAGTCCTCAAGCTGACATCTTTGCTCTTCAACACTTTAAAAAGTTCCTGTGCAGCAGATTTGCCTAATGCAATACGTCGTCTGATCTCTTGACTGCTGCTTCCACGAGTGTTGATAGTTGATCCAAGAAGGATGAAGTCCTTGACAACTTCAATCTTTTCTCCGTTGATAAGAATGTTGTTTATTGGTCCAGTGGTGAGGATTTAGCAGCCTGACTAGTAACCACTATGCTACCAGAGTTCCTTGAAACTCTACGTGGTGGGTATTATAAGTCCTGGTATGGCCCAGATTCTATAGCATAAGATTACTTAAGTATAAAATTTTCAGAAGACAACATTTTAATATGAAACTGCTAAGTCAACACATATTAAAATGCTGTCTTCTGAAAATTTTATACTTAAGTTATCAACACATTTCATAAAATATAGCAAAGATAGTAAGGAAGGCAGAGGATCAGGCAGTGTTTCCTCTCTGTTATATACAGGTAGCGCTCACAACAGCATACTACATGAATTTTACCCAGGAAAGTATTTAAAATGTGAAGGCATTCAGAAAGAAATATAAATTGTGGAATGGTAAAAATGTAGAATATGTAAGAAACTAATGTGCGATCCAGAGAAATGGCTTATTTCTGATTATTTTTTACTTGACTTTAGGAGACTGTGAATCTTATTATTATTATTTTTTAACTATTTTGTTGTGAGTTATGTGATACCTTACATGGGAGAACATTAGCTTTACATTCATCCTATCATACATATATCGTTACATTGCCATGGTTACAATCCCATCTATGCATCATCAACCAACTAAAGGGTATACCCTAAAAACCTTCCCCTGGTCATCAGCACACACACCCTCTCACACTCTGGGTCTAGAGTTGTGAATCTTATTTTTGAGAAATAATGCATTATTGTGTAATAAGCCATTGAGACTTTAGGGAATGGTTATAAGCTAACTACTATAGAAACTTTTAGCAACTTGCCTAAAATTATATGGTTAATAAGTGGCACAACCGGTCTTATGAACTGAGATGTGTTGCCCTAAAATGTGTTGAAACCCTAACCCCATTGTGGAGGATGTGATCCTGTTTGGAAATAAGATTTTCTTTGTGATATTAACAAGGCTTGAGACTGAAAATCTTATCAAAGTAGAAAAAGTCTTAGAAAGTTTCAAATATGCACGTAAAAATAAAAGCTGATGTCTCTAAAGTTAAAAAATGTCATGAGGGAAAACAATAGGTTTGTGGAATAAAGGAATCCCACAAAAAAAATTTTTTTTCCCTCAGAGATATCAGAGAGAATGACAGAGTCATTATACCTCTACCCAGTCAAAGATCTGTTCATCATTTGCTTTGTCCTCAATAATGAGTTTTTCAAGTCGTTTATATAGCTCTTCAGCAGAGAGTTCTTTCTTTGAAAGTGCTTCAGAGGAACAGGAACTGTCAGACTCTATAAAGTCCAACTTCTGCAACATAAAACATTAAACATATTAATATGATTCAATAGTATCATCACCCAAAAAGGAAAATAAAGCCATAGGCTATATCTTCTATTTTACAAGGAATCAAAGTAATCACCAGGAGCCATTTCATATTCGTGGTTTTGAGAGATTCTCACTCCATTAACATTCTGAACAGTTCTCCAACTTATCATACTATGTCTCTCTAATTCTTCTTCAAACACAGGCAAACAAATGCCCTATAATTATCTCTCTAGCTATGTTCAATCTCCGAGTCATTTTGAGCTTGAAATTGGCTCTTGGATATCACACAGCTCTTTAAGCTGAGGCAGTAGTATTTACCAAGGGTACAATTTCACTCCATTTCTGTAGCCTAAGGTTTATATTGGTATCACAAAATAGTAGCTGTCAAATCATTAGTTTCCGTTTCACTGTCTTTCAAACATCTCCTGACCACCCTGAATCCAAGTATGAGAAATTATGATTGTTTTAACTCTTAAATGGGTAGTTAAAATATCGGCAATAAAAACTATTGACAATTTTCAAGGGTATAAGGCAATGAGGTATGTAGTTATGCTTTGCATGAAAATATTTTGCTATGTAAAAATCATAAAGACTAAAATATTAAAATATATTCACACAGGATTTTCTAATACCTTTGAGGACTTTGGTATGTTCCTATACTCTACCCTTCATTTACACTGAAGAAAGTAATATTGTGAATTCTGTGTTCTTCATCCTCTTGCTTTAATTAATTTTACCATTTATTTAGCACTGCTACACAGTATTTCCCTGTGAGCTTTGAGAAACATGTTTTAATAATGCAAACAAGTTTTTTTATTTAATGTTGGTAAACTGAATACCCTAACTCCTACTAAGTATGAGTATACAAAAAGCACAGGCAATCTCTTTCAGAATAGGCAATCCATTTTACATAACTTTAAAACATTCTCCAAACTTATTCTAATACTCTAAGGCTCGCTGTTTAACCTACCCCAAACCTACAAAAACCATTTAAGTTCTAAGCACAATTGACAGACAATAGCAACAGAAAATCAAACTTGAAGTATACTGCCCATTAATAAAATTAATTAGATCACATACATTTGAAACTGAAACCTTTGCCTCACCCAAAGGAGCCAGTTGGTAAGCTGTAAGGTTTACAGTGGTCACTGGAGAGAATCATTTGTTTTTTAAGACCTTTATGTTTCTGTACAAGTTTTCTGATCTTGGTATCCAGAGGCTGGGGTTGGATTTAGGGAGCACATCACTGCTATCTCATGGAGAATGCACCAGGGTTTGCAGAAAAAGGACATTAAAATAACTATTTTAGAAGAAAGCTGAAAGTCAGGATATAATGTCAGATTCTCTGGAACCTCATTTTTTCTAATATGCCTTTAAACATTTTTATTATTAACGGCAACAAAAATAGCCATAATTTATCGGCCCTTCACTGTGTGAAGTACATCTCAACCATTAACTTATTTAACCCTCACCAAAACTCTATATGGTGGTGGTGGTGGTTATGTGCCGTGGAGTCAGTTCCAACACATAACACACCTGTACAGGGTTTCTGAGGCTGTAAATCTTTACGGGAGCAGAAAAGCTCATCTTTCTTCCACGGAACACCTGGTAGTTTCAAACTGCTGACTGTGAGACTAGCAGCCTGACTAGTAACCACTATGCTACCAGAGTTCCTTGAAACTCTACGTGGTGGGTATTATTAGTCCTGGTGTGGCCCTGTGTGGTGCTGTGGGTTATGCACTGTACTGCAGTTTGAAATGCAAGGTCGGCGGTTTAAGCTCACCAGCTGCTCCTCAGAAACCCTACACAGGGTTGCTATGAGTTAGAACCAACTCAACAATACTTAACAACAACAGATTAGTATTTTGTAGAGGTGGAATCTTAGGCAGAGAAAAGTTACTTGGTTAAAGTCATGTGGTTAAGTAGTAGAAAACAGGAATCTGAATCCAGGTTTATTTGACTTCGAATCAGGGGGCTGCTCAACATTCATATAATGCTTAGCTCACTAGCTGCCACTCAGTGGACTTTGACTCATGGAGTATGGACAACAAAACAAAGCGCTGCCCAGTCTTTCTTCATCCTTTCCATCACAGAAATGTCTGAGTTCATCACTGCAAATACTGTGCCAGGCCATCTCACAGAGGATCTTTCTTGCCAGCCTACTTCTTCAACAAATAGGATGTCCTCCTCCAGGGACTGGTTCTTCCTGATAATGTGTCCAAAGTAAGCAAGTTGGACAATGTTCTGTTGTGATCCATGGGTTTTCACTGGTTAATTTTCTGATCTAGATGGCCAGGCCTTTCTTCCTAGTTGTATTCTGGAAGCTCTGCTGAAACCTGTCCACTATGATACCTGACCTTCCTTACTGGTTGGTATTTGCTTCTTCTGGGAGCAAGAGTAATACCGAACTGGGACCAATTCAACTTTCTCTTGAGATCTCTGGCAGCACTTAGGACAATATACCCTTGACATGTGCTTACTGTTCAGACCTCAAATTTCAGCTCTAGCTTTTCCCCCCTTTCTTTTCTGACTCTTGGACATTTCTTCCACCTTCTGTGAACTCAGCAATGCAACAGAGATTGTGCTTTATGCAGGTTCTTACTGTTGTGGCAGGTATGTTCTCCAGTGTGTAGAGATTATAATTAAAAAAAGAAGTCAAAAGTCCATTGCTGTTAGGTGCCATCGAGTTGGTTCCGACTCATAGGAGCCTTATACACAACAGAAGGACACAGCCCAGTCCTGTGTCATCCTCACAACTGTTGTTACTCTTGAGTTCACTGCTGCTGCCTTTATGCCAATCCATCACGTTTGTGATCGCCCTCTTTTTTGCTGACTTTATGTGCTGACTATAATATTTGCATGTGATAGTAATAGTCTGTACTGATAACGTGTCCAATGCATGTGCGATGCACTCTCACACTCCTGGCCTCTAAGGCGAAGTCTGGTTGTACTGCTTCCAAGACAGATTTGTTTGTTCTTCTGGCAGCTCACTATTACTGCTTCATTTATTTATATCATCTTTATTTGTTTATATCAGCTCATCGAGCTATATAGCTTGTTTTCTGAGTGTGGCTAGGTCTTCAAAATTTTTTGTGATTTTTTTATCTGTTATCTTTTGAGTGTGGAATTGGGATGGCCTCAAAGCATGAACTTACAATACCATCTTGACCAAAAATCCATTTTGATCTAATGTTAATTAATGAAATACTAATAAAAATTATTTTTATTTCCTTTGAAAACACACCAACTCAAACAAGAAAATGTAAGCCTTGTTCTTACCTGCTCCAAAAGAAAATGATGTACATCTTCCCCTTCTGGTAAAAAGTCCTTCCAGCTGAGGTCAGCCTCCCTCCATAAGGCTCCCACTTTCTTATGGCTCTAAAACACAGGTAAGTCCAAACCATTTACTTTCACATTGAAGATGATAAAAAGAGAATTGCTTAAAATCAAAAGCGCAAAATCCTATAACTGAAAACCATCAAAACTTTTTTGTGTGTGCTGGTGTTAGACATATCTGAATGCATATATATGTGATGATAAATGATTAACTCAGCTGTGTTAGAGAGTGATACTAAGGTCAAATGAGAAATCTGGTCCAATCTACAGGATTTATAAATTCAACACTATCTGTTTTCAAAGATGATTGCTTTTAGGGTTCCAATTCACACATGCATGGGCTTATTCCAAACCAATATGTTTAAACATACTTTAAACATATTTTATTTATACAAGTGCATAGCTACTTGTGCATAGCTACAGACAAGTTTTTTCATTAATACACTGGTCTTAATCTTGTTAGGGTACCTTCAAAAGAAAGGTCCAATTAAGACAGCAGCTTCAGAGGGGATCTATCTATCTGCTAGGTCCGTTCAATTCAAGACAGAAAGGTCAGGAGGTTATGGTTTTTTGGTATCCCAATGGGATCATCTTGATAGATTTTCTCAAAATACACAGGAGGATAAGGGGGGATTATGAAGAAGAAGTTTTAAGAAAATGGAGAACTGCATTGGTGAGAAAAAGGCCAGGGAAGTTGCACAGAGAAATTTTTTCCCATTGTGATAATGTACCCTCATTCTTGCGGAGTAGTAGGGCTATCCTCTGAGAATTTTGTTGTGAAACCGTACCCCATCTACCTCACAGCCTTTATCTTGCCCCTTCCGATTTCATTTTGTTCTCCAAACTCAAAGAACACTGAAAAGGAACATGGTTTGAGTTCCTTGAGGAAGTGCTGAAACTGCCATTTTGATGTGATGGAAATCGAAGAGCAGAAAATTCTTTGGGTAAAGGTTAGAGATATGGAAACAGTGCCTTAGAAATGTGTAGATCTTAATGGAAGATGAATCAGGAAACAATAGCTTCAAATTTTTATATTTTTGTTTAATAAAGGTTTCTATGATTTTATAGCAATACTTTTTTTTACTTACCCTTATGTATGTATTTTCTATTAAAGTTACTCAAAAAGTCCCACTGGAATCCCTCTTCATATAATATCATGACTGTGCTACCTAATAAGAGAGTATTAGGCATCCAAGGGCAAGAAGCCTAAGGTTAAACTAAAGAAACAACAGAGATGACCTGGAAAAGTCAAGTAGCAGGTTCCCTGGTAAGAAGATGCCAGTCTACTGTTTGAATAGAGTCACAGTGACAAAGGGAAATGTCAGCCTTTGGAGCAAATGTTATCTAGGAAGCATGCATGCATTACTTCAAAGAGTAACCTGCATCAAGTGTATAACTTGGTGGAGCTAAGATTTGAACTCAGGCTGGCTCCAAAGCTTAAAGAATTTGGCTTTATTTAGGAGAAGTGGGAATTTGTTTTCTGTTGCTACAAATAAAAAGTAAACAAGAATTTGAGTTTTGAATAGGGACTAAGTCAAATAAATAGGAAGGGAGGAGGTAATTTTACACATACAAATTGGGGTTCAGTAACAATTTTAATACCATCAAACAGACAGATAACCAACTAGAACTAGAGACCACACTATGTAGTATAGCTATCTATGGATAACTATTGCACAAATGGGATACAGAAGGACTTCTGCAGATTCACAGGGAGAAGTGAAAGTGACATTTTTCTAATCAATACTTAAAAACACACTGAAATCTATCATCTCATTATCTTTGACCCAGGTTTGAATGAATCAGAAATCTCTCCAGAATTGTCATGTGAGTTCTGGTTTGTTTTGACATCTCTTACCCTATGTGTTCCACCACTTTTATGATAACCACCGTGCTTTCCTAAACTCTTAGACCTCTAATAAAGCACTTTCAGGCTCTTTTGAAATTATTGGTTAAGATTTGTCTGTCTTCCTCTTTAGTCTGTAAATTCTTTGAAGGTTTAGTTACTTTTGTAGATTGAGGGCTTACCACAGAGGCTTGCAGAGAATAATTATAAAGTAAGGGGATTCAAAAAGTTTGTGGATAAATTCTAGTATTTTACAATTTCACTTTTCCACAAACTTTTTAAAGCTCCCCTGTATTAAAACTAAATTTAAGATAGAAATCCACTCTCTTGTAGAATCATTTTACCACCTATTTCTAATCAGATTCAGAAGCTCTAGTTGCACAGCGGTTAAAAATCCAGCTGCTAACCGACATGTCCATGGTTTGGAACACACTGGCCACTCCATGGGAGAGAGATGTGCAAATCTCCTTTCATAGAGAGGCCAGCCTTAGGGACCCTGTGGGCCAGTTCTACTCCGCCCTGGAGGGTTGCTATGAATTGGGATTGAGTCAATGGCAATGCATTTGGTATTTTCAGTTTTTCTAATCATATTAATTAGCCAGTGATCCAGAAATATGAAACTGATCATTTTATGAATCCTTGGGGTCCTGGCGTAGTGCTGTAGGATAAACACTTAACTGCCAACCACAAAGGAGCTCTGATAGTGCAGTGGTTACGAGTTGGGCTATTAACCTCAAAGTCAGCAGTTCAAAACTAACAGCTGTTCTGCAGGAGAAAGATGAGGCTTTCTGCTTCCATACAGATTTACAGCCTCAGAAACCCCATGCAGGATTGCTATGAGTCGGAAACGACTCCACAGCACACTACCACCACCGCCAACCACAGGTGGGCAGTTCAAAGCTGCCTCTGGGAAACCCTATACAGGATCACTATGACAGGAAGTGACTGGACAGCACTTGACAACAACAATCACCTTAATTTCAAAGCAAAGAAAATTTCATTAAAATCTATTAAAAAGTGTAAATAATGTAGACATTTTAGTAAAGGACAAAATTACTAATTGCCAGTGCATATTGAGATTAGATCATTTTTACTCGTTACTAGTAAAGAGAAGAAAGACTACCAAAAGAAGTTAGGTTGAAACAGTTAATAGTAAAAGAAAATAGAATTACTCAGCTATTCACAGATAATCCAGTATCAGCAACCTATCCTCCCTTGTATGCTATTAAATCTGACTCACAGGAGTTTAACACTCACCATTTGTTTGCATAGAAGGTGCAATATTTCAGAAAGCAAGACCCCAGCTCTTCCAACAGGAAGTAAAGGTTTGCTAAATTCTCTGTAAAAGATAGGAGCGATAATTAAGTATCTCTAAATAAATTCGCTGTTCTAGAATAGTAGTCACATAATGTGTGCCAAAACAGCAGATCCGGTCAAACGTAAAAAATAACCATCAAGACAAACTTCAGGACATGTTCTGTCATTTCCCACAAAAGTAGTTTGGTGACTTTAGGTTCACTTTGTGCTTCATGGGAAAATCTCTACCCACTTATACGATGGTAGCAAAGCAAAGGTCTTTCTCAGTTTATTCAGCTTTGCTTTGAGCCAAAAAGGGAGAAGCTCTCTAGTAACAGGGAGTTGTAAAGCTTAGTTTAGAAAGCATTTTTAGCACTTAGGAAAGAAATATTTTCTTTAGAATATGAGTGAAACTGGATGATTTTTTTTTCAGAGTTTAGATGAGTTATTTCCCAAAATATTATTTCCATGGAATATCAATTATTAATTATAATTCGATGGAGTATCAATAATTAAGAAGCTAATTTTTATTTATTATTTTTCCAAAAGTAGTCTTATAATTTTAAATGTGCTATAAAATACTCTTAAATTTCAAAAAAAAAGTACACATAGTATGCAGAGTCTGACTATATCAACCATTTTTTGGGGAAACTCTAGGGTTTTGAAGAAGAGAATTTGGAAAATACAATGAATATGGTTTATCCAAGGTAACTTCAATTCTCCATTCACATCCAATTCTAGCAGTGCTTGAGATGTTGGTTTCTTTTACTCCAGTCCTGGGCAAGTATTAACCCAATGCCATCGAGGTGATTCTGATGCAGAGGACCCAATGGGACAGAGTAGAACTGTAAATCTGAGGCTGTAAATCTTTCAAGGGAGCAGGTAGCCTTATCCTTCTTTAGCAATGTGCTAGTGGGTTTGAACTGCTTACCTTGTGGTTAACAGGTGAAACTCATTGCATCACCTGGAGCCCTGGTGGCACTGAAGGGTAAGCACTGGCCTACTAATTGTAAGATCTGCCGTTCAAACCAATCAGCCATTCTGTGGAAGAAAATGAGGCTTTCTGCTCCCATAGAGATTTATAGCCTTGGAAACCCTATAGAGTCACTATGAATCCAAGTGGACTTAATGGCAATGAGCAAGTATTCTCCAAGTGCCATGGTCTGATGAACTACGATATGGAAATACAGCTTCTGACAGCACTGGAGCAGTGACAGGCATAAAAATCAGACTGACACTAACTTTCCATGAATAAGTGTTATGTGATTCGGAAGGCCCTTGATGAACTAAAAGGCCCCATCTAAAATACCCCATTCACTTCTCCAAGCTAGACCTACTAACATGGCACTCGAGGTCTTAAAGAGTTACAGGCTGCGGTCAAGAGCCACACTATGGTTAAGTGCCAGCTGGTGAATTCCGTGTCACTTTAACTTGATGTATACCCAAAGAAACACAAGCATAACTTGCATGATAAGTTGTCTCATGGAGATTCCGCCTTCCTTTAACATGGGGGTCACCAGTTCAGCAAGGTACAACCAAATATGGGGGATATCAATAGCCATGTCATCTGCTAACTCCAAGGTTTCTGAAAAACTGAAAAGGAATTGGGGAAAAATTCACATGCAAATGCAATTCAAAAGTGAAAACTTTGTTCTTTAAGACAATAAAATTCAGTTATTAAACAATTACATATTACGCACCTGCTATGTGTTAGGCAGGAGTCTTAGTGTGGCACTGTAGGATAAGTACTTGACTGCTAACCATAGTCAGTGGTTCAAACCCACCAGCCACTCCCTGGAAACACTATACAGGGTTGCTATGAGTTGGAACTGACTTGACAGTACTTAATAACAACAACAACATGTTAGGTAAGGAGCCCTGGTGGAGTAATGGCTAAGCACTTGACTGCTAACCAAGAGCTCGGTGGTTAGAACCCATGAGCAGCTCCACAGGAGAAAAGAACTGGAAATTTGTTCCTGTAAAGATTAGCACCTAAGACACCCTATGGGGCATTTATGCTCTGTCCTACAGGATCACTGTGAACTGTATTCACCTTGACAGCATATGATGGGTTAGGCATTGTTTCAGCCTCAAAGTGACTAGTCATCAAGTTTCTGTTCTCAAAGAACTATTATTAATGTAGGGAGAAATTTTAGCACAAACAATAGCATGTTTTTAGAGAGGGGTAAACATTTTAAGAACACGCACCAGGATACCAGAACAGCCTAGAGGATGGTAGGAAAATACATCTGTATAGAGGTGAAAACAACGTAGCTCTGCGCAGTTTTCAGGATTAGCTCCCAATTTAGAAAGAATTCACTACAGTTGAAAATTGGATCCTCCAAGTCAGTCAGAAGAACTGATTAAATCTTTATTAAAATTAAAACCACTTGCAAGGAGGAAAAAAAGACAAAAATCCTTGTCCTTTCAGAACAAAAACTGATGGATATAATGAGTCAGATATCATTATCATTACTATGACATGTTATAAACTATTATATAACTACATAAAAGTTCATCGTTTCAAATATTTTGCTAAGAAATAGATTTCTGAGTGGTAAAATGAAACAGATAGGAATCAAATATGAACCGGAGAGATTTCAGATACAAAGTATCAGTCTTACTTAGGTTGGAAACCATGGCTACTCATTTTGAAGTATAAACAAACATAATTCAAGGGCTTCTTAATTATTCTTATATGAGTGAGGAGTCCTGGTGTGGTGCTGTAGGGTAAGTAGTAGACTGCTAACTGCAAGGTCGGCAGTTCAGTTCCACCAGCAGCTCTTGGAGTTGCTACATAGAGTTGCTATGAGTCAGAATGGAATCCAAAGCACTCACAATGATACGATAACAATGTGTTACAAAGTACAAAAACAAAAGTGAATTAAACTACAGGAGACATTCACAAAGGTCAGAGCTCTGCATATATAAAACATGATTTTTTCACTGCAGTTCCAGTTTCTAGTCAGAGTAAGCCCTCTGTTTACCTGCCTCTGAGGCAAACAGGTTATCACGCTTTTTTATCTTAAAAAGAGCTACCACTAAAGGGCATGCTCACCATCCTGAAGCTGCCATTTCATAAGAGATTACAGCACAGCCATATTACCTAAATCTGCGTTTCATGAGTCCTTAATGGCAGCTTCCTGACCTCACAGCTTGCAATGATGTGACATCTATTTGCTGTAACAGATACATGACAGTCTTCTCATTAATGGTACACTTGCAGGCCACTGATGGGACATAATCTGACTGGCCCCTAGGATTACTCTGTTTATCACTCTAGCCTGCCAATTCATGGTCCTTGGACTAGTGGCATAGATAAAACTGGTTAATGAGCCCACAGGACCATTGTAGCCATCCCTGTACGGCTGTCAGCAATGTATCTGCAGTTATTTTCATTACATATTACAACTAAAAGAAAATCATGTTCTTCTTGCCTTATTTTATCTACTTTATCATGGATACCTTGCAGAACATAATCATTGGTGAAATCCATACTACAGATAAGAAAACATTTAGACTGACTATAGGATTTCCCCGAAACAGGCCTATCAGAGAGTTTCCCCCCCAGGTTTACAGTCCAAAGTGCTTTTGTATAATGAAAACAATTTCTGGGAGTATAAAAGCATCAGGATAACAGTCTTAGTGTTTTGGACTAATACATAAGCAGCCTGTAACAACACCTCTACCATTCGTCTGTCACTTTGTCGTACTGTGGTGGCTTGAGTGTTGCTATGGTGTTGGGAGCTATGCCATGGATATTTTAAATACCAGGAGGGTCATCATGGTGGACAAGTTTCAAAGGAGCTTCCAGACTAAGACAGACTAGTAAGGAAGAGAGGCAGACTACTTTTGAATGTTTAGCCACTGATAATCTTATGAAATCTTATAAATGGAGTCCTGGAATGGCTCTTCAGGTTAATACACTGGACTGCAAGGTCGGTTTGAACTGCAAGGTTGGCGGTTCAAGCTTACCAGTTGCTCCTGGAAAACCCTATACAGGGTCTCTATGAGTCAGAATCGACTTGAAGGCACTTAACAAGAACAACAACCTTATGAATAGCAGTGGCACATTACTGCTGGAAATTGAGCCCCTTAGGTATGAAGGCACTCACAATAAGACTGGGGCAGAACTGCATTCTCAAAGTAGCGCTCACCATAATGACTTGAATAGAATTAAGTTTCCAGGACCTTCATTTTCTGATGGGGCACAACTCAGAATGAGGAGCAACAGATGCAAACATCCATTAAAAATTGAAACATGGTCAAGTTCATCAAATTGTATGAGAAAACTGGTTTTATTTTGTTTTGTTTTTCCTCTTCTTTTTACTTCTGGTTGAGCTCTGATCATCTAGTCACTGAAGCCAGGATAAGTGGGTATTATCTGCAAGTGTGGGTGTTCTTATGCATATGCCCTCTCTTCTTATCAGCTGACGCTTCACTCTCCACTCTA